CTATCAGCAGGAAACAGTCTGGAGGACGCAGTCACATAATTTCATGTAAGTGCTGGGGCAAAACCAATAGAGGTCCAATTCCATGATCCCAGTGAACAGCAAACGGTGGCTTCTAGAAGTCCTAGCACACATCACATACTATCATTCAGCAAAGCAGTTTTCATATTTTAGTCTCATGACATTCAACACTTTGATATGCTGTACATATGTGCACCTGTGAGACACATAAGGTAGAGGAAACTAATGCTGAGAGCCTCAGTGAGTCAGGCTTTCTCCCCGCTGCCATTTCATTTCACTTGATGGGATTGCTTATTTGAGCCTGAGCACACTAAGAACTAGCCAAGGTTGTGCGGTAAGAGGATTCCTACTGTCTCACCCGGGTTTTTTCTCAAATCAGGGTTTCTTCAATCCATATCCAAGAATGGACTTCAAAGGCACAATTTCCTCAATTATAGACAAATGTATGCATATTTACAGGGGTGATTTTTAAAAATCCAGTGCTTTAATCAGAGTCTCAAAAGGTCAGAAGAAAAAAGTGGTAGAAGGATCATGGCTGAGCCGTGCTGCTTGATCCTGGTGCTGCTCGTAAGACTTTTTTTGCTGTCACTTGACTTCTCAATTGCTCCTCAGAGGAGGAAAAGGCAGGTACATCTAGTGCAACACTTGAAAAGTTACTAATACACATCCAAAAAAGCTGATTTCCATTTGCTTCATGTTCCACAAGGAATGTGTGTTGCAGGTAAGCTGTGGTCTATTTTTGTACACTGATTTTAGGTACTTTGTAGCCCCAACTCTGATCTGAACCAACTGGCTTGACATAGGCAACTCCATTCGAGGCCATTCCTAACCCCAGCAGTGCAACCCACTCAGAACTATAGGGACAAATCACGACAAATCGAAGTTGAAGACAAGTCAAAAGCATCACCTTGTCATTTAAAGGTTACACCACACTGTTAAAAATTACTTGGCCAGGTGCGGTGGCTCATGCCTGTAATTCCAGCACTTTGGGAGGCTGAGGTAGATCACCTGAGGTCAGGAGTTCGAGACCAGCCTGGCAACATGGTGAAACCCCGTCTCTACTAAAAATACAAAAATCAGCTGGGCAAGGTGGTACACACCTTTAGTCCTAGCTACTTGGGAGGCTGAGGCAGGAGAATCGCTTGAACTTGGGAGGCAGAGGTTGCAATGAGCCGAGATCGTACCACTGCACTCTGGCCTGGGTGACAAAGCGATACTCTATCTTAAAAAATATGTATCTTTAATATGACTCACTGGCCCCATATTAAGAAAAAAGAAAATAAGAGACGCATTAGGTGACCAGACCTTATGATAACATTAGCAAAAGTATGGGATTTGGACTCGGGGAATCAATGCTCTTATTCTGTTGCTGTAACACAGCTAGACCACTATGAGCCTCAATTTCTCATCTGAAGAGGGTGTAATATCCACCTTACCGTGCTGTGGTGAGGAATGAAGAAAACCACGGAGTAAAGGGACAGTGCTTACTCAACAGTTCAGTCCTCAATCAGAATGCCAGAATGCGGCACATCTTTTGCTTCCTGGTTTAGCTCTCCGGCCCCTCAAAATTGCTGCTTCTAAAGCCAACTAACATCAATTCTGTTTTTTGTTTTTGTCTTTTTGAGACAGGGTCTCACTCTGTCACCCAGGCTGCAGTGCAGTGGCATGATCTCAGCTCACTGCAACCTCTGCCTCCTGGGTTCAAGCGATCCTTGTGCCTCAGCCTCCTGAGTAGCAGGGACTACAGGCACATGCCATCATGCCTCATTTTTCTATTTTTTGTAGAGGCGGAGTTTCATCATGCTGCCCAGGCTAGTCTTGAATTTTGAAATGCTGGACTCAAGCGATCTGCCTGCCTTGGCCTCCCAGTGATGAGATTACAGACTATTAAAGAGTTATCACAGTGCTATCATGCCTGGCTTAAAAATCAGTCCTTTTTGCTGTAATGTGTTGAGTTGGTTAATGAATTTAAAAAATAAAAAAAATTTAAAAGAAAAATAATCAATCCTTTGCCTGAAAGTTTTCACCAGCTTCATTATTATCCTTGTAATGGAAGCCATTAGAAACAAGGGTGTCTATAACAAAGAAATCTAAACAGAAGAGAGAGGATAATTAATCATTAAGAAATCAAAAAAAGTTGTGGAGCCGGGCGCGGTGGCTCACGCCTGTAATCCCAGCACTTTGGGAGGCCGAGGCGGGTGGATCACAAGGTCAAGAGATCGAGACCATCCTGGTCAACATGGTGAAACCCCGTCTCTACTAAAAATACAAAAAATTAGCTGGGCATGGTGGCGCGTGCCTGTAATCCCAGCTACTCAGGAGGCTGAGGCAGGAGAATTGCCTGAACCCAGGAGGCGGAGGTTGCGGTGAGCCGAGATCGCGCCATTGCACTCCAGCCTGAGTAACAAGAGCGAAACTCCGTCTAAAAAAAAAAAAAAAGTTGTGGAAACAAACAGCAGAAGGGAGGGTGTGGGCGACACACCTTGAGCCAGACAAGGTGAGGTTTCTGGCTTTGCTGCTTACTTCCACCTTGGACTCCAGGTCTCCTTTGGCAAACCACTGTAGGCATCTACTGCACAGGGATAATATGAGGGTCAAATCAGGCAGTACAGTCCCAAGTATATGAGAAGCAAACAGCCCATGCTAAGGCTCTGTTCTTCCAGAAATAGAGTAGGTACTTTCATTGAGCAGGTTTCAGGAACAATTCCAGACTTTTCTTCTTCTAATAAAGGAGCTTGGGGCCAGGTGGGGTAAATCGCATCTGTAATCCCAGCACTTTGAGAGGCCGAGGTGGGCAGATCACGAGATCAGGAGTTTGAGACAAGCCTGGCCAGCACGGTGAAACCCCGTCTTTACTAAATACACACACACACACACACACACACACACACACACACACACACACACAAAAGCTTATATATACTTAGTATGTATATATATGTGTATATACACATATGTGTGTGTGTGTGTGTGTATATATATATATATATATAAATAAAAATTTAAGCAGCTGAGCTTGTATTATGCAGATAAGAGAGTTAAAAGCTAGATGCAGTGGCTCATGCCTGTAATCTCTGCACTTTGGGAGGCTGAGGTATGTGGATCACTTGAAGTCAAGAGTACAAGGCCTGGACAACATGGTGAAGCCCCGTCTCTACTAAACATACAGAAATTAGCCAGCTGAGGTGGCCTGTGCCTGTAATCCCAGCAACTTGGGAGGCTGAGGCAGGAGAACTGCTGGAACCCAGGAGATGGAGGTTGCAATGAGCCGAGATCACACCACTGCATTCCAGCCTGGACAACAGAGTGAGACTCTGTCTT